GAAGAGACCACCTAGTACTACTAGGACTAAAGTGCATCATTTGTGTAACATCATATTCTGCAGAGTTGCAGGCTGAGAATCTTTAGAACTCCTCTTTATCAGGATGTTATTCATTGGCTCGTGTATATTTTTGATATGCGGTAAAAATATATATTTGTGCGTTGACTTTTTCTGATCTTTCCTTGACCCTGTGATGGGGACCTGGGGTCTTATTGTATTTCAAATTTTCCCAAGTGTCGCGGAAGCACAGAGCCCACGGTTGTTCATTTTGGCCTCGCAGTCGCTGAGCTGTGACAGAGTGCATTGGAGGCTTTCTCAGGTGAAAATGTAAAGAAAAATAGCCCAGGGGTTATGATGGTTTATTATGGGGGGAAATGGTTTATAAACTGTGAGCTGTGATTGCGCTGAAGACTTGTTTGGAGGTTTACATGTTTTAAAACTGGTCTTTCGCTTGATTTCGTTGGTGGGAAAGTGGCAGTATGGAGAGATTGTTTTAATGTTTTAAATGGATTCAAAACATTTTTGACTCTTAGAAATTGTGTCCATGAACAGAGTGTCAGACGATAAACATGTAGCAAAAAATTTACAGTTGTGTCAACTGTACTCAGATCACTGCAGATAAAACAATGATCTGTCACAGGGCTTCTTCCTGTGCTTTCTCTGTTTGTTAAAGGACCAACACGTGGACTAAGAGTAGATGTAGGGGGCATGTGAATGTTTTGGTGAGATAATCCCTTCAGAAGATGATAACCACTTCTGCTTCCCCCACTGTTTCCCATTAATATTACATTGATGCTGCATAATAATATTTTCGACTATTCATTTGGATCTTCTAAACAATTATTTCTGCATGAGGGCAAACTCTGTGTTGTAATATAATCTATAACAAGCCTATTCAAATGGCGGCCCGCGGGCCAAATTCGGCCCAGAAGCAACCTGCGAGTGGCCCTGCCTGTGGTCCTAGCAGAAACACAGAGAAAACACAAAAAATTAATTCATTAATTAATTTTAAAAAATGAAACATTCCTACAGCGTAGTGTAGACTGTGAATGCAACACTCCTAGTAGCCTAGCAATATTTAACCCACAATGCACCGTGATGTAAACATATTAAACAATCATCGTAATATATGATGCGACAACAGCACGTCTTTCTCTCTCCAAAAGCGCAAAATTGACAATGAAAACTGTCGGTTTAACCCTGCCTGGACTGACAAATACTTATTCATTTTACCGAATTTAATAATCTTACAACCAGAGTTGTACTGCCATGGTGAGGGTCCTGTACAGCCCAAGAG